ACTAAACAGAACCTTATGGCTCTGGCTCCTTTTCTTTTTTTTTTTTTTTTCTTCTTCTTCTTTTTTTTTTTTTTTTTTTTTTTTTTTCTTTTGAAAAAAAACAGAACCTTAAGGTTCTGGGCCTTTTCCATTCCGGGGGGCGCCAGTTGGGTTCCTATTCCACGGGCAAGCCAGAAGATTATGCATGAAGAAACTCACGCACGCCCCTCCCTGTTATGGCTGGGAGGTCTGAGCTGACGGCATTGATCTTTTCCCATAGGAAGGATGTACCACCCACCTCTCACCCCTGCCTGAGTTAGCTAGCCTTCCCCACTGTCTATGTTATTGCCTAAACCCTAAACCCTAATGTCTTACCTCGTGCCTGCTCCTCTCAGCCTCAGAGCTGTCGACTTGTACTCGCTCAATTCTGTCTCTTATACACATCTAGATGTGTATAAGAGACAGGCCTAAACCCTAAACCCTAATGTCTTACCTCGTGCCTGCTCCTCTCAGCCTCAGAGCTGTCGACTTGTACTCGCTCAATTAGAGCAATACACACCATCCTCCCTTCGTATCGAAATGACCTCTTAAATCTTACCTTCCCCCCCCCCCCCCCCTCGTGTGTTCGTGCTGCCTTGATGTCATTGCTATGGCCATGCGAGAACCTAAGTTTGCTGCTTAAACCCCAGCCCTCAAAAACAGTCACCAACATATAGATTATTGAATGCTGATCTCTCTTGGGGAAAAAGGGGGCAAATGTTTGGTGAAAATATTATGACGGCAATGGTATGGAGATTGCTGCAGATTACTGCTCCCTGGCACTACTGGTGAGCCCAGAACTCTTTCTCAGTTGATGCTCCATACTTGGTCAAATGTCGCGGTTCAGGCCATTTTGTTCCGGTGGCAGTGGCGGTGGAATCGATACTACAAGTCCCTAACCTCCAGGAGCCACTCCAGGTACGATGGGACTCTGGACTGTTGCCATTGCCAGGTTCAGCTGACATCCAGTATGGCTCATGCAGCTCTGGAAAGGACGCACGGCCGTCACCCTAGTAGGATGTGTGAGCTCCGCCATGAAACTGGTGAGTATATGTCAGGTGAGAATGACAGTAGACACTCTCACCAAATCTGTTGCTGTGAAGAGGGCAGGAGTTATCGTGCTGCTTTGGTCCGGTGTCGTAGGTATAGAGGAATTGAAAAATGCGCATAATCCATTGAGGAGGGGTGTGTTCGCACAGCCGTCACTTCTCAGTTCCGAACTGCCAATGTCTCAGAGTCTCACCCCTTTTTTCTGTGTGTACTGATTGAGTGAATGTATGTCCAGGTGCAGACAGATATATCGCCCAGCATTCACTTCCGATGGCAGGGGAGTGGTGTCAACCGGTGAGAAGTCCCAGTTTCTGTCGCTCTACTCCGTGGACACTGGGAAGGCGATCAGCCGAGGTCATCTTGGGTACAGTGCGAGTATGGTGATGATGTCCGGATCGAATTCCTTGAGACGGTTGCGACACCGCGGTCATGGCGAATTCGAAGACCGCTTGTGGATAGCAGGCAAGGAGATTGTTCCCTACTCTGCGGTTTTGAAGATGGAGGAGTTAGCACAGTAAACCGAGGCCGTCTTTGATACAGCGAGGTCGTCTTTGATACAGTGTGAATATGGTGATGATGTCAGGGTGTAACAATGTAATTCTTTGGGAGGCGATTGCCACTCCGCGGTGGTGGCGAGTTTGGAGGCGAGTTTGGAGACGAGTTCGGAGACCGCTTGTGGATCACAGGCAAGGGGATTGTTCCCTACTGTGCGGTTTTGAAGATGGAAGAGCTAACACAGTACCGACAATTTGGTGGTAACGACATCTCGAAGCGCTACAGCCTATAGGTGAATACCGGCGAGATCCAGTCGAATGGTTTTTTTACTGGAAGTCAGAGGACCCGTAGTACCTGCCTAACTCCGACATGATAACTATTTCTGCAATTGAGTGCAGCTTTTGAGCAGCAACAGCAGCAGCGGCACCGGCAGAAGGTGGAGAATAGAGGTGGGGAGGAGGTATTCCTAAGTGTCCCAGCAGAGGTGGAGAATAGAGGTGGGGACGTGTTTCTCAGTGTCTCCAGCAGGTGGAGAACAGAGATGGGGAGGTGTTCCTCAGTGTCCCAGCAGGTGGAGAATAGAGGGGGGCTCAGTGTTCCACTTACCATCTTGGCCCTGGATTGAAATATGTATGTGCTTCACTCAATGAGCGTTTCCCTGCCGACACAACACACCCTGACATCATCTTGACAGCATTGCAGCAGACAGATAGCTTGTATTCATTCATGGTTAGGTTTATAATAGGACGAGTGGTGTTCGCTGAGGGGATGCTAGCAGCCCCTCCTTGTAGCAGTTTTTGTCGAGTGTGAGTTATAGGCATCGAACTGGCCTGTAACTCGTTCTAGCAGTTTTTGTCGAGTGAGTGAGTTATAGTCGTCGAACTGGCCGGCCTATTTTGCAGTTATTTCATTCATCTGGCTCCGTCAGAAATCCGACTCAACAAAGTCTGTTTATCAGCAGCGCATTGGTGTATTGCTCAGCCACATGGGATGGGTAAGGAGAGGGAGGAGAGGGAGGAGAGGGAGGAGATGGGATTGAAGCCCCCAGTCATCCGAATCGGTTTTTATCGACAGGGAGAAAAATCTGATTACTAAGCAGCGGAGGGAGAGAATGGCAGCAGCTATCACTGATGTCCGAGGAATGAAAATGACAATAACAGGCTTGGAATAGAATCCAGGCAAAGGGTACTGATGATGGGATGGTGCCTTTGGGATGGTAAAGGTTGTGAAAGGCTTTCATAGGAATAGGAGAGGCTGATGGGATGGGCCCTTTGGGACGACAAAGGTTGTAAAAGGTTTATATAGGAACTATGTGTGAGGTAAATCTAAATCTCTGCAGCATTGCAGTAGCCAGATATTAATCAAGGCAGGATTGACATATAAAAACAGTTGATGATTGGCAAGCGGTCTCAGGGAGGGCCCTGAACGCTCCCTCTCGGCGCAAATCCCACAGGGGATTTCCCCCCCTTGTCTTTGTACAAACATATACTTGCCGGAGGTAAGTAAGCGGGCTGTCACTCCCCAGAATAGAAGGGGCCTGTGCGATTCTTGCGAATGAAATTATCATCAGTGCCAACTTTTTTTTCTTCAGCGGCTGGGTTCCTTGGGGCTCTTGGGATGAGAAGCGACAAGGACACACAACAGCAGGGTTCAGTTAAGCCACCAGGACATCTGAGGCCCTTTTTGTCAAGTCAGGTTGCCCCTGCACGCCAAGGGTCGGCAATACATCGGCAGTGCTACATTTTTTCTTTTCTTGTCCACGGCGCTGTCGGCCATTTTGGTCTGGTAGGCGTGAGTCTCCAATTTTTTTGGAAATCAGCCAATTCCGATCGTCAAGTTTGCCCGGGCGATGCACTGGTGGTTTAAGGGTTGGGATGATGCAAGGGTGAAAGGGAGGAAGCAAGCAGAGAAAGGACATGTCGGACTGCGATTTCCTGGCGGAAGTAGAATGGAAGTAGATGCACTGCAAAGAGATTTTACAACTGCAAATGGGAAATACTGCTCGTGCATCCATATGGATGCTGTGAGGAAAAGTGAAGATGGCATAGTAACCTCTCTTCTTTTCTCCTTCCTAGATAAAGGGCTCCTTAAAAGAGATGAGCCCAACCAATTGGGAGAAATTTATCTGACATTTCTAATTAATGGCTGTGCGTATGCCCCGAGACTCTTCTCGCGAGCAAGCTCACAGGTCGCCTTGGTTTCAATGCCTGTAGCCTTCGTGTCGCCACAAAGTTCAGACTATATCATCATCCCACGCAGGGATGTCTGGCGTGTAGTCGTTGAGAGGCGCAGCGCATGTATCAACACATGACTGGAGGTCTGCAAAGTGGCGTTGTGCGCTATTTGGGAGCGATTTAAGTTAAGTGATCCAGAAGAGGCGAACGTGCAAGTACGTGATCCAGAAGGGGCATGGCATCGAAAGGAAATGCGCGGAGAGGACAAAAATGTGGGGGGGAGGGTATCCCTTTTCGAAGATTTCACTGCACTGACACAGATTTTCACCACAGTGTCGGATGGTACGAAAGCAATGGGTAATGTGATTCAGTGAGGATAGGATGATGTTCTGCCTGCCTAAAATTGGAATTGATTTTTCTGATCTGATATGATTGATGGGCATTGTGGTTGCCTGCCGAATGACAGGAGTGGATGTGCTAGTAGCTGCGTTAGTATTCGTTTGCATTGCGGACGATGACGAGTTTGTATGGAGCACACACATGAGAGGAAGCTTGTTGATGACCAGGTACATGATGGAGGTTGTTGCACTGTGTAAGCAGGTTGTAGCACAGAAGTTGGCTTCGTGGGCTACCCAGCCAGTTTGCAGCAGGAACTGCAGGCAGATTGTACCTGGTCATCCACGATAGCCAGGCACATTATGCCTGGGGGCATAGTGGTCTTTGCTATGTATCTTTTATTGCTTGGGTAGGTAAGGTGTTTCTCGTTTTTGTTTTTTGTTGTTTGTAATTTTCGACCATTTTTTCTCAATTTATGTGTGCCATCCTTTCGCTTGTATTTGTCCATGCTTTATTTATGCGTCTTTCTACGCTGTCAATGCAACGCGAGTGCCCTACCTGTACACTTTCTTTTCATTAAATTCATAATCCAGACCGTTCAGACTTTTAATTAAAGTCCATCTTTGGCAATGTTTTGTGAAAGAAACGAAAAAGAGAAGCAATGAAAGCTGGCTATCATTCTAAGATGTATACTTCACAAAAGCTGGCTATCATTCTAAGATGTATACTTCACAAGAACCAGGACCAGAAACTGGGTGGCTTTTTAAAAGCTCTTTTTTTTTTTTTAACTTCTTTTGCCTTCGTGGAATTATGGATATAAGGATTGAAGCGATGAGGGCAAAGTTTTCAGAGCACAAACTGCATCCACCCAAGGGATTAAGAAAGGGGAAACCCACACCAGATGCAAGGGAATAGCAAGCAAAAAGCTGCATCAGGACTCCTGTTCCAAGTGAAGATGTGATAGAGAGTAGAAACCTCCGGTCTTCTGTGATGAACAGTTCTTTGCGTCTTTCCCTGAAAAGGATGCCTGTGTGGAAAAGGATGCGCCTGTGCTTCTCTGACAAAGCTTCCGCCCCCTGCTGCTCTGAAAAGACCAATGTTCTTTCAGCTCTTGAAAGCCTGTGAACAGAAACTTCGAAGAGTAGTCACACCACCCACTTTCTTCCTTTCTTTCTGCTCTGTTTATGAATTGATACTCAACTATTGGAACTACTGGGACTGCGATCCCAATGTCCCAGTTTCATGGTCCCAAGAAATTACGAGCGGAGTTCTATAGCTCAGTTGGTACACCAATGAACCGTTGAAATACAGACCTGTGTTCTTCGAATCCAGATGTGACTGCATGGACAGAATTGAAATTGGTTTGAATCATATTTGCAAGCGGACACCGTCCAGGCGGTTCCGCACGTGCGGCAGACCGCAGGACCGGACCCGCGTGGCGCACGAATGTGCGCCCGACGACCAGTTACGCTCCCCCCCCCAAAAAAAAAAAAAAAAACGCCCCCGTCCGATCCGGTCCGGGTCCGTCTGGTCCGGTGGGAGGGTGCCGCACGCGGCAAAGCGGACCGGACCGGACGCTCGTCCGGTCCGTCTGCTTGCAAGTATGGTTTGAATTACCTGGGGCTGGTTGTTTTCAATGATGGTATCTCAAGGCCGTTGTTGTCTATTTTTCAGAAGAAAGAAAAAAGACAAGAAACACTAGGACTGGAATGACCCCTACCGGTAGCTCCCCCTCTCGTAGAAGCCACATTTGCACCTACTCACTCCCTGACCACTGCCGATGGGGGGGGGGTGAGGGGCGGGTGCCCAGACCCTCGATTCTGAGAGGTAGCTACGCCTGTAGGGGTCCCCTGTATAGGCTTAGTGGTAGGTAGGTAGCGAGAGGTGGAATTGAGAGAAGAATATAGCTCACATTTGCACTCACAAGACCTGTGATCATTGAAGCCTGGAGAGAATCAGCAACTGAATCAGATGCAAACGCGTTGTGGCCTCGACAGTTTATGGAGACTAGACCGCCACTTCAGCTGAAGCAGAACAGAGCTCTTACTGGTAAAATAAAATATAATAAAAAAATATATACTAATAAAATAGGAGAATATAAAATAAATAGATAGATAGTTAAATAGATAAATAGTATTATGTTGTCTATCATATGAATATAGGTGGGACCTTTTTGATTCAGGCCTGGGTGGGTAGTGGACGTGCCAGGCCAATTTGAAAAGGCGGAGCTGCAGGCTTGCAAGCCTAGGAAGGTAGTTTCGTCGACGTAATGTCATGTGAACTGGTGGCTTCAGGAGAATACGAAGAGGCAGAATGAAGGGGAGTAAACAGAAGGAATCTTTCTGCGTACGACGCCAAAATTCACCTCTGAAAATGGAATCTATAGCCATCCCTCCCTCCAGGTCATTACTGCACAGACAGCCCCCTTCCTCCTGTTGCTGTCTTCAGAGGTGAATGACTCAGCGAAACAATCTCTGATCTCGTGCAGACAATGTTTTTTTTTATTTTTTTATAAAAGGCTAATTCCAGACAATGTTTACGAATGGCTGACACAGCACTTGTGCTGGGGCACATGTGCGGAGGTATGGGTGCAGAAGTCCAGTAAAAGCACCCATACCCAGCACATGTGAACCCACAAGAGGGGGAAAGTTTACCTCTACCGGGATGGCAAACTTTCACCCTCAAGAGGTCCCGGAAAAGCACCCATACCCCAGCACATGGGCATCCACAAGAGGGGGAAAGTCTACGTCTACCGGGATGGCAAAATTTCCCCCTCTCACGCTACTACGGAATTTCCTGCACCATCTCGAGAGCGGGAAAGTTTGCCATCTACTGGGATGGCAAACTTTCCGTCTCTGGAGGTGCTGAAGGAAATTCCGTAGTTCCCAGGCCACTGAGCATCAACCACCGTGCAGTAGATGGCAGTATAGGTGCGTGCTGGTATGTGTGGGTTGATGACCAAGCTCGTTGGTCTGTGTGGGTTGATGACCAAGGGGACTGAGAGCCAAATGACCTGATGACCCCTAGGCATCAGGACGGGACGGGACACACACACACACACACACACACACACAAACACACACACACACACACACACAATCAACGGGGACTGAGAGCCAGATGACCTGATGACCCCTTGGCATCAGGACGGGACGGGACACACACACACACACACACACGCACACACACACACAACACACACACACACACACACACACACACACACACACACACACACAGTTTGGTAGGATTGCAGGGTTGGTGTTGAGTAAAGTTGACCACTTTTCTCTCTTAGGGGTATTGCTAACTCTGAAGGTACATGGAGTCCTTATCCATCAGTCAAAGGCATCCTGGGCAGACTGTCGAGGGTTAACCTCATGACGAGTCCATGAAGGTCTGACGAAACAGTCTGGCACAGTCATGCCGTTTCCTGTGGAGTATGGCAAACATGACAACACAGATATACAAGGCAGACTTGAGGCCTGGGTCCAATCATTGCAGGGCATGCACTGATCCCATGGGCAGCCTGCATAAAACACCCCCAGCAAACTCAGGCCAGTGCTTCCCTTTCTGACACCTGCGCCAAGAAATGCTTTTAAGGAGAGGCCCGCTCCCAGCATTACTGCGGCCAAATACGACATGCATCCTTGTGTGTGAGTAGGACCTTTTAGTCCCACCCTGATGATTAATGGGAGTATGGTATTATACATTCTGATACATGGAATAAGCATCCCACTTCGGATGCTCATGCAAGGGTACCGGTGGTCTGATGGGGGGCAGTGTTGTAGTCCTATGGTTGGAATAAAACCCTTCAAGAATATGCCACTGCTTCCTAAGAATCGGTTAGGTTGGTGTACGTATAGTATAGACGAGCACGTGGCCGACAGCTTATCTATTCGCATAGGTTGGTGTACATATAGGCTGGGACGGACATTGGCTGCTTCTTGGGCTCATCTGAGGTCTTTCTGGGGTGGATACCTCGTGCACGGGTGTCCGTTTATAATCCCTCCCTCAGTGTTGGGCACGTGCAACGATACAAGTCTACAAACACTCTGGTGAATCCCGTTTCGGGTGGGTTGTTATACTCTGTTTTTTTAAGCTATTAACTTTCTCTTGCCTAAAGCTTCGTCTTCTTCAAGTAAGCAATCTGATAAACGTTGGGGCTTGCGGCTCAATTATCGTGGAGGACAAGCTTGGTAGATACGCTGCTGTCTCAGCACGTGCTTGACCTCAAATTATGGGTTGAAGATGAACTGCGAACATCCCTGCTAACCTTGCCCCTCACCATATCAACAGTAGGACTGCGTTGTGATATTTTATGCTAGAGTTTTCCCAAACATGGCGATTGGAGACCAAGCGCCAGAAAAAGAACAAGACACTTATCTAAGAATGTCACCTCCAGACTATTTTTGGAAACCTGTACCCTTCTCATATGAGATCCCCTTCCCAACTTTTTCCCCCTGTCATATATGCGAGGACTTGCCTACGCGATGTTGAGGTGGCATCATCACAGTTTCACCCTGACAGAAACTACCTTTGGGCAACGTCAGGAGCCCTTGTTGATGATGGATCCCCCACGAGTGCAATCGAAGGGGGCACGTGGAGGAGGATCTAAGCATCTAAGGGCACCCCGATGAAACCTGGTCAAATGGTTATCCATGTGGCATGGCGATGTGGACTTCTTTGTGGAGGATGAACTTTGAACTAACAGTCTGCATTCCATATTATGGGAGTGGGTGATAGTCTGCTTTGATTCTTGTTGAGACCATCGGTTCCGGTATAGCGGCATGCCTTTCTGTGTTAGTATCGCACCGCTCGCCCGCTTGCCTGGCTAGCTGCTGCTTAGTGCATATTATGTAGACGGCCGGCCACCCTCCCGCCTGCCTACCCGCCTGCTTGCCTTGCTATATTCTGCCTAGTATGCTGCCTGGTGCATGGCCCGCCACATGCCGAGTTGTCTTGCCGTGTGCCTGCCTACCTGCCTGCTTGCCTGCCAGCTGTGCCTTGCTACAAGTTGCCTTCTCCATGCCACGCGGAATGCTGTGCTATATTTGCCTATTCGCAACAAGGGGTTAGACTGTTGACGGTCCAACCTCCTGACAAAGGAACATAAGTCCATAGATACAGTCTGTCACATTCCGTTCTTGTTTTTCTTTTTTTTTCCGCTCGTCTTTTTTTTTTTTTTTTCCTCTTTCTTTCTTTTTTCTGGTCCTCGGCCTCTACAACACCTGTCTCTTATACACATCTAGATGTGTATAAGAGACAGGTTCATGCTTGTACTTTTCTCACCCCTTTTTTCTTCTGCACGGCGTGGTGGCCTTTTGCATGTTTACATTCCTTCTTTTGCCATACCAGGGCTGCAAACTCTGCAAACTCTTTTTCAAATGTTGTTTATTAAGTTTACTTAACATATTTTTTGGCACAATTTCCGGTATCGCTAGCTTGGAGGTTTCACCTCCCACCACACACACACACACACACACACACACACACACACACACACAAAACCAGACTGTTTCTGCAAAATTTTGTAAATAGCTTTAAGAACAGACAACCAGACTGTTTTTCTTCTCAATGTTTTTAGTAGAGACTCCTTGCCTTCCCAATTTGGAAATTACGTGTGCGAGACAAGTGCCCTAAATATAGTAAAGAATGCTTTCATCCATTACCGGATGTGCCCCCCCCAAAAAATAGTGCCATGCATTGACAAACATCTTCTCGTGCACCATCCGCCACATCTGTACCCAGTCTAATGAAAAGACTCTCCAGTTTCACATGGAATTGAATACCGACCTCATGCAATTTCCTATCGTCGCTAGCTCACAATTGAGGATCAACTTTCGCACATAACCGTGGGATATGCAACTCCCTCCAAGCGTCAATGACTCCATCGACCAGCTTGCTCAAAAATGGAAAGAGATTCTGGACAAAAGAAAAGCCAGAAAGGATGCACGGTGGGCTTAAATTGAAACGAATTCCACAAATTCCTCTTAAGGAATTTCTAACCCCAGAAAGGAATCACTGTAGACTAGACTGCACATTGTTTTTGTCTCAAGGAACATAAACAACAGAAAGCAAAACACAACCTAACTCAAGTGTGGGGTGAGCACAACTTCATCTCCCTGCGTGTCGCTGAGCCTGAGCTTCATTCATCCACCTTGTTCTGCGTGTCGCTGAGCCTGAGCTTCAATCATCCACCTTGTTCCTCAGACGGGCACCAAGGCCAGCCCTGCAAACTGCACAGACCATGTTCACACACATTACGGGACATCAGGTAACTTAACCAAGGTTAGAATAGAATGGCACGCACGGTTCCTTGTGCCTTAACTTAACCAAAACACCAGAGGGTCAGCAGACCCAGAACAGTAATAACACACCACAAGATCACGCAGGGTCTCTGTTGCGCAGCTGGGTGAGTATTACACGCAAAGGCACGAGGCTGCTAATTTAAGCAGGCGCCAAAACACCAGAGGGGGTCAGTAGACCCAGAACGCTAACATACCACAAGGTCATGAAGGGTCTGTTGCACAGCTGGGTGAGAATTACAGGCAAAAAGGCACGGCGCTAAGTAGGCGGGAAACATGATTCAAAGGAAAGTGGTCACACTGCACAGACGGATGCTCTCACATAGCAGAAAAAAACTCAATAAAGTCGGGTCGTAACAGAAGATTTCAGTATTAGGAGACTGAACCCTTGACCACCGCCTGTAGTAGAATGAACCCCCTGGTGTCCTTCGGGACATCAGTTAAAATTGGAACGATACTGAAAAGATCAGCATGGACCCTGCTGCGCAAGGATGACACGCATAAGTCGAGAAATGGTATGAAAAAGAATGCACCCCCCTGCTTGTTTAGCTGTATCTTCTCTGACCTACAACATGGTTGTCCAACTGTTGCTGTCAGGGATTAGGAAATTGAGAATACGACATGGAGAGCCTTGATTATCCTCTCTCTTCTGCAGAGTGCGATGAAGCCAATCAGGAGAGAAGCTCGTCAATGTCGAAATACAGTATGTCTCACCGCAGTTTCAATGTCTCCAAAATCGTACATGTAAATCAGGTAGCAGAATGTCTAGTCAGCAGAGAAGAGGATGGTGCGAGGGAGGGTGGAAGAGAGGCATCAATCAACACAGCAGATAAATCTCCCTCACAAATCCACTTCCTCTTCTAGCATCTCCCAATCGCCACACCAGCAGACAGTCTCCTTTGACACACTCTGACAATGAGCAGATCTCATCATGGCGCTTGACAGCGCAGACACCTTTTGAAGACGAACAACAATGCACAATGTCGACAAGAACGCAAACAGGTAAGCTTCCTCCACATTCAACCAATCTCACAGCGCTGATCCTCCTCCTCCTCGCCGACACTCCATCATCAATGTCGTAATCATAGTGGCAAGAGCCACGTCAACATAATCAAGTGTCCAGCTGGCGCCGAAGACATAGAAGGCGCCAGCACAAAGCAATAGCAGTCCAGCGTCAAGCCAGCGTAGCGCCAGCATCAAGCCAGCGTCAAGCAGCATGTGCAAGACTGAATATCGATCAGCAGTGGCTGGGTGAACTTATAGTGTTGACTCCGGTTGACCAGCCTCTGTTCCTGGTCTCTCAGATACGATGGCCCAGATTGTCTCTCAGCCAATGGCCTAGATCCCCTACAGTTGCAGATTCCCACTTGGGCTTGATTCCTTACGGATACCTACAAACAGCCAAGGGTGTGTGTCTGATCGACGGCCTAGACTGAGTCCATGTGGACTTTGACTCACGGGCCTGAATTTCCGAGCTGCTGTTGACATTTAACTTTCCCCGGTCAACTGTCACACTTTGGGCCTCTGCAGGCCAATTTCAGGCCTTGCTTCGGGTACCCCACAGTAGCAGGCCGTCTTTCAGGCAGTTTACATGACTTGGGCATGCCCTTTGACCCCTTGGTTCTGGCTCCTACCATTCTGGGGAGCGACGGTCCGGTTCCTGGTTCTGACTCCTACCATTCCGGGGAGCGACAGTCCGGTTCCTATTTCCCCGGCAAGTCAAAATGGAATACATGAGAAACTCACGCACGCTCCTCCCTGTTATGGCTGGGAGGCCCGAGTGGACGACATTGATTACTTCCTTGGGGAATCCACCAGAAGGGGGAGGAGCGTGAGCGCGTTCTCAAAAAGGGAAATTTAGAGGAAAGTACTAGTAAAAACAGTCATCGGAGAGAAAGGAAGGGCTCACACCCCAAGCTAGAGAGAGAAAGAGGGTTCAGGGTTTAGGGTTTTAGAGCCTAAGAACAACACTTGCTTTACATTTTTAGAACCTAGGAACCGTTAAACCGCAACAGCATTATAGCTGAGGCCTCAGGGTTTAAGGTTTAGACAGAGACAGGACAAATAGGGATTAGGGCCTCAGAGATTTCAAAAGACTCGTAGGCGAGCCAGATCGCTCTAGCATAACTCACCAACCAGACAGTGCCACGGCTGAGAGGAGTGGGACTGTGCCTAAGCTATCCTGTGCTACTTCTCTCCTATCTTTTACTAATCGGGAATTCCGTTCGCTCTAGTGTTTGGGGCTTGATTTTTGTGTTCCTTCCGGTTCGTTCCTCTCAGCTCCTTGGCTGCCTGTTTTTCTTTTTGTTTTAGTACTGCCGATGGGGCTGCTTGTGTTAAATTCTGTTTGCGCTAAATTCTGTGAGGTTTACACTTGCTGCAGTCCTTGCTATGACCCTGGCCCTGGCTCGTCTACTTGTTCTTCTAAGCCGTGTCTGTGTCTGTTGACGTAGGGATTTTGGATTCCTGAGGGGGTTATGGTGGTGCTTTGCCGCTTTAGTGAATCTTCCTTTTGAGGTGCCAAGTTTCCTTATGAGGTTCTGTGTTTGGTACTAAGGTTGGGGTCTTCGGGGGGCTATGGTCTAGTCTGTTAACGTGAAATCAGGTAGTAGGGCGCTCCTGTTCTGGGTTGACAGGCTGACGCTGTTTTAGGGCTATCTGCTGTTGTTTGGTTTGCTTAAACGAAGCCAATGGACATTCCTGTGACATGGGATCTACTTTGAGGCGGGTCTGAGGGCTGTGGTATGGTCAGTCTACTGTGTCTCCATTGTCCGAACTGTATCCTGTTCTGGGAGATTGTTGCTGTTCTCCCTTCCCCTAGCTGCTTTTTGTTAAAAACTTCAATAATTTTGTCTCTATCGAGTCGGACTTAGATTCTTCTCTATTTTCCTACACACTCTTCCAGCGCCCTCTGTATTCGATCTCTAATCTATTTAGGACCCCTTCCCATGTTTCCTGCACCTGAATTAACGTGCGGTCTAACGTCTCTTGACATCTTCTTTCCCATATCATCCATAACGTTGCCGGACGTAGAATGTGAAAGAAAATGGTCTCGTGTCCCTGCCAATTGGGTGGGATGTGCAGGCCCAGTAGGAGAGTAAGAGGGTCTGTAGGGTTTAGGGTTTTGTTCGTGATTGTATGCTAGAGATCTTTTGTGTGTTGGACCAGCGTTGCTCCGCTTTTGGGCAGTGTATTAGGCAATGGCCCACGTCTTCTACTCGACCTTCCGGGCAGATTGCACATAGCTCTTGTAACGGGGTCCTGGCTTGAAAGTTTCTCCTCTTGTTCAACCATTGGTTTAACTGGGAGAGCCAGGTGGGCCAGTAGCCACTGGAAACTTCTAATTTTGACTTGGTTGATGTTTAGAAGCCCAGTCCGATGTCCTTCGGGACATCCGTTAAAATTGGAACGATACAGAGAAGGGTAGATTAGCATGGCCCCTGCACTTTCAAGGATGACACGCATAAATCGAGAAATGGTCCAATTTATTAAAAAAAAAAAAAAAAAAAAAGAAGCCCAGTCCGATTTTGGGTAAGATCAAAATGTGCCTCCCATCTTTGGCCTACGATTTGGGTTATGGGCTGTGACCTTGTCCTTAGTGCGTAGCCTAGTTTGGTTGTGTATTCCAAGATGTTGGTGCGCTTTTCTATGTTGAGCCTCCCTGATTTCCTTTTCCATGCCCATTCCACCGGGTCAATCTCCAAGTCTTCGATACTGGTTTGTGAATTGTAGATTCGGCGGTCCTGCGTTTCTATTACCCTCACCTTCCTTAATGTCCGTTCATGCCAGGCCACTTCCCCTGTGGAGTTTTTGTTTAGTAGGCTTGTTGATGCGCTTGGGTCCTCGATTGTGTAATATATTGGGGTGATCACAGCTGTCTATATTCTTCTCTCAACTTTCTGTTTGTTTACCTTCGACTACCTACTCCAAAGACTATCTAGAGGGGACCCCTGCAAGCATAGTTTTCCTCTCTCTGTGAAGGGGAAATTTCATGTTGCCCCTTGCCCCTAACGGTTAGGGTATAGGGTTGGGGCCGCCAGTGGGGGTCTGGCTAACACAAAGACCGAGACCTGCCAGTAGCTGTGCCTCCCCTTTCTCATCGTCCCCCACCCTTCATCGAGCAGCAGCAGAGGCTATGGCCAACACTCTCCCACACACCACACACAACCCACTCGCGCTCACACTCACACCCGTGTTGGTCATAGACCCCGCTAATACCGATCAGGGGTATCCAGAGGACTATCACAGTCCGTTGGCACTAAGTGCGCCGCAGGCGACCAATGGGCTTGAACCCACAACCTCCTGAATGCCACTTGCATGCCTAACCAGCTGAGCTAGGCTGCTGGATCACGATAGTTATTAATTATCCCGGGGTTTAGCGATAGTTATTAATTATCCCAGGGTGGAGGGAAGATGGAAGACATAATGGCATTTTACTATTTGTAGATTTGGCCTGGCCTTCTTTCATAACCAAGTTTCTTGGCCTTCGCCTATGAAAAATCACTGGAGATTTGGAGAATTGAAAACACACCCTACCTACTGTGAATGAGACAACTTCGTACACAGAAAAGTAACCAGGGGAGCAATTTCGTTGTCCTTCCCTGACCTGTACCGCATCGATTTATGCATCAGGGAAATGGAAATGTCGCTGTAACTCCCTTAATAACAAAAAGCTCCCGAGCGAGCAATCTTGGCTCTTGCCTGCTCTTCTTCTCTCTCCCCCTATGCCTCCATTGCCCAGTCTGCAGTCTCCTATCAGTGAGCATAGCCTCTCCATGTCAGTGCTAATCATGGTGCTGACGTGGACCAACAACACATAGCAGATTGCCTGCCTACACACAGCAAATCTAGAGATATAGCAAGATAACACGGTGGAAGGCAGGCAAGAAGGTGGACAAGGCACACGGCAATGTCCTTTTCCATCCTTCTTATCTTTTGTGTTTTACATGGTGTTTATTCGCACCAAGTTGTCCTTCCCTCACCTATAACACATCAGTCTATGTGTCAGCGGAACGTAAATGTAACCCAACTCCCTTAATGACAGAAGCTGGCAAACCTGGCCTCTTCTTCTCTCCCCCCTTATGCCTCCACTGCCCAGTCCGCAGTCTCCAATCAGCGAGAATAACCTCTCCACCATCTCAGCGCTAATTATGGTGCTGGTCTGGACCAAGAACAGAGCATATTGCTGCATAGCGGACCAGGATCGCGTTCACACAAAAATAACCTCACCAGGTCGGCGCTAATTACAGTGCTCATGACACTCGTGTCGACCAAGAACAGAGCAGATTGCTGCCTAATGATGGACCAGGAGTGGCAGGAACACATTCACACGAGAAGAACCTCGCCGTGTCAGTGCTCATTATGGCGCTAATGCGGACCAAGAAGTGATGGATCAAGAACATGTTCATACAATGAATGTAGAGAACTGACGGATGAAGAACATGTTCATACAATGAATGAAGAGATATAGCAACAAGGTGGAATGCAGTCAAGAAGGTGGGCGATGAACGACGATGGACTCTGCTCAGAGTAGTTTCGCACCTCATACATGTGCAGCTCCAAACAACTGCCTTGAAGCCGAAGGAACCAGAACCGTGGGATGCCTCTCGCTCTCCACCTGCACGAGGGGAACAGAATTGATGTCCACAATGTCAGCGCAATGCGAGAAAGTGTTCCTTGAGACCAAAACAGCACCATATGCACTTAGACATCCAGTATCTTACTGAGGGGATGGAAATTATAAAATGAATCGAGTCCACCTTGAGTTCTGCTCTCACCTGCCTCTTCAGTTCAGAACTAAGGCAACAGGATTGCATTGGCACTGACTGGCAAACGTCCAGGCCTCGTTAGCTAATGTAGATGCTGGGTTGGCAGTCACAGACCAGTTCGTGCAGAAAGCAGACTGGGCTGTCTTCTGCAGCAACTAAAGAGCCAGTTTTTGCCGCAGGGGCACTTCCAATAAGAAAAAGAAACAGTAGCCGCCGCCGGGCCACAAGAAGGAGAAGAAGAAGGTGCAGAAGAGCCATAAGAAGCCGATGAAGGTGTTGCAAGGGGCGCAAAAAGAAGAAGAGGGTTCTGCAGGGCCACGACAACAAGAAGAAGGTGCCACAAGGGCGCAAAAAGAAGAAGGTTCTGCAGGGCCACAACAACAAGAAGATGACGCTGCAGGCACAAGTGGTTAACAACTTGAGAACAACCCCCACTTTTCAGCCCATAGGTTAACCCTCCAAGCACTGAAAAGGGCATTTGGGAATAACGTTTTGCAGTTCTATTTTAGTTTTTTTGGGGACCTATAATCAATCACCTATTTACTTTTTGGTCAAGGTTTGTACATGCATGCCAAATTTGGTATTTGTTGGAGCCCTGGAGATGACTGTTTTGGCAAGCACTGAAAATCCTGAATGCTGCATGAAAAATTGAAAACACTTTTTTCAAGTTTTTTGCCTTAGGGTTTGAGATACCCTTCTTTTGAATCTTTTCAACTTCGTTTTTTTTTTTCACTGTTGATTTCTTTGTCGTCCACTCTATGGGTTGGAGATAAGTTTGGTTTAAAAAACTGACAAAAATTGTGTTTTGTTTTTGACAACCAGTGTCAACCACCATGGAAAAACCCTGAAAAAAGTTCAGGGCTCGGTTAACTGCTTCTCGCACCTTGGCAAGAAACACTACCAGAACAGTTGGCATTGACAGCAACACCATCAAATATGTCATGACTATTCTGAATAATGAACAATGAAGGGAGCTCCAAGAGCAGCAGAAGAAGACGGTCCAGAGGTACCCCCCTGCCTGAAAACCCCACAGCTCTGGAGACATACTTCCAGCAGCAGAAGAAGACGGTCCAGAGGTACCCCCCTGCCTGAAACCCCCACACCTCTGGAGACATACTTCCAGCAGCAGAAGAAGACGGTCCAGAGGTACCCCTGTCTGAAAACCCCACACCTCTGGAGACATACTTCCCCCGAAAAACTGGAAAACCAAATTGAAAGAGGAGGTCCTGACACAACCATTATTTGGGACATCCATTAAAACTGGAACGATACAGCGAAGATAGCATGGCCCCTGCACAAGGATGACATGCACGAATCGAGAAGAAAAAAGTGCTAAGAAGAAAAGGAAAGTGATGTGCCAGTGCATACCAATCGCGCTTACGCTCCACAAGGCCTCACATACTGGCTCAAAAACTTAGAAGAAAAAAGCACTTAGAAGGAAAGGAAAGCGAAGTGCCATCGGATACCAATCAAAGTTTATTAAACAAATCAGTCAACAGGGTGCATAAATCAAAATGGATCCAAAAGAAAAGAGGGTTTACAGAGGCAGGCAGGTGATCTGATACCCACCACATCCAGGAAGTCCAGCGTATAATGTAGGCCTCGACTTTCTTGCCGCTTCAGTGCACTCTCAACGACAAGCTTTCCTCCAACGAAAAGATTTCTCATTTCACATATCTCAACGCTCTGCACATGGAATGGAAAAACGCAAACTTATCGATCATGTCACAGATCTAGACCAAAGCAGGAGAGAAACGGGGGAAAGAAAGGGAGAAAGAATAGCAATCCTTTGAGACATCTGCTAAAATCAGAATGATGCAGAAAACATTAGCATGGGCCCTACGCAAGAATGACACACATAAATTGCAAAATGGTCCACATTATGAAGGGAACTTAGGGGACGGAAACTCTCAGACCTGAATTGGTTGGCAGCAGCAAGACTGCCAACTAGTTTCTGGTACAGCCAATGTTGGACGTTGGTCAAAGAAAAAACGTCACGTCGTCACGAACTTTGCTACTACTACTCAAACTAGCAAATAATAATACACAGATGTGGAAATTGCTTGCACTTGGTAGATCAGCTCCTGTTGAGGTGGGCAGATCAGCTCCTGTTGAGGTGCTACTGCTCCACCGGAGTTGATCCATTTGTATACGATGCATTGGTTGGCTCGTGTCACTGAAATCACTTCAATCAATCACTGAATTGAGAAGCTGTGGCAGCTTGCTTATTTGGTTCAAACATGCATGCACAACACCTCCTCATTCTCTCTCTAAGGATGCGTTATGTTCGGGGTACGACGGGGATGTCAATGCAGTAACTTTTCCCTGCCGTTGGGGTTTGCGAAAAACTGCGAATGAGCATGTGAATGTGTTATCATGTTTGCTAACCAGAATGCCAAAGAATTTAAGAAAACTTAGAAAACGCTTTTCCTGTGAGGCAAACATGTCCGACAGGAGGGAAACTGTGCAACACATCCTCAGCTCGCACCTTTGTGCGTGACAAACTGTTCCATTGGATTCACACTGGCTTGCCAGGACGTCGGGGTTGCAAGAAGAAGGGAGAAGGCACAAGCCACACAACCCTCGGGATTGCCACAGGTAACTCACCGCCACGTTTCCTTGATACCCAATGTACCAAGCAAGCCGATCCTCCCATGATCGTTCAAGCCTCGCAAGTTCTCGGCGGGCAATTTTTAACCTCTCGGTTGACCTTACAATGCCAACCTGGATCACCCACAATCAGATCATATCATGGCATAAAAAACACACAACTTAGTGCACCACATAAACATGATGCTCACACAACCTGGCAACAAGCTCACTGTGAATCTAGCAGGATATCCCACGGCAAGCGCGCATTGCCCTGCACACTTCCTTTGCTTGCACTTGGTCGTTGGGCTAACATATTTTTCCCTTCGACCTCTGTTAATCATCCTGTAAAAGGAATCAGAGAGTGGGGCTGTAGTGCCATACTTATGATGGACACCTCTGTTAATCATCGCCTGGAGAGAGAGTCAAGGAATAGGGGTCTGTGTACAGACTCCACAGTGTCCACACCCATTGGATGTTAAAGGGGTGGGTCAAAGTTCAGCTGTGCAATAAGGTGCTCATATCCCAAGTGCCATCTTACCAGATGGCTACAGTTCAGACTCTTCGAAGAACACCCCCACACAGACTTACCTTCTGACCACGCACATACAGACTCTCTACAACAGCAGAGAGAAAAGCAAGAAAGGTGACCCTCAGAGAACTCCCAAACCACCAAGCTGCACTTAGCCAATAAGGGCAAAAGCAATTGAAAAGAGAATGCCACAATTGCCTTGAGGAATCATCAATCCTGCACACCACAGGGAGACAAGGAGATGGACAAGGAAAAGAGGAGTGGATGCAGAGAGCCACATGAGAGATGGGAACAAGGACAGTGCAGTGGATGATGAGAAGTGGGGCAGTGCAGAGAGCCACATGACGGACGGGAACAAGGACAGTGCAGTGGATGATGAGAAGTGGGGCAGAGGAGTTGCGAACAGCTCTCTCTCTCTCTCTCTCTCTCTCTCTCTCTCTCTCTCTCTCCTTCCCACCCCCCTCTCTCTCTCTCACCCACACCCACACACACCTTGTGAGGTTGTCACCCTCATCACTGATAGGCTGTTGTGCCTTAGTTGCTGAGGATGTGGCATAGTAACCACAGCTGCCACGACTGTGATTTCGTCATACACCATCATACTGGAGGTCTTCACTTCATAGGGCCACGTCTCACCACGACCAGGCACATCGGATGGTTAATATTATTGGAAAATTGCATATACGGCTTCAATCAGGAGCGACTGGGTTCTCTGCCTAGCGCTGGTGCCTGTGACTGCCATCTGCATCCGGTAGATCCTTAGGAGGGTCCTCGATGCACGTCAAGACGGGGGAAGTGGGGGTTGCAACTAGGGAAAAAATGAGGTTGAGATGGAAGGGTGAAATGATTCACGTGGCAGACAACCAGTCCCGGTCCCAGTGTCCCCTAAAGTCCCAAGTCCCAGGGCGGTCCAGTAGGGTAGGCCGTAGGGTCTAGGGGTCCGAAACGTGGTAGGTCGGTAAGTGTTGGTACCGAAGCGTCATAGGTCGGTAGGAGTCCGTCCGGTACCCGACAAGAAAAGTCCAGAAGAGTCCAGTTCCGTCCGACAGTCCCAAGCCCAATTTTGCAGCATGTTCCAGGAAAGTCCGGAAGCTACCGGAGAGACAAAATGTTTGCAGCAGACAGGCTGCGGCTGACCGGTACCGGTCGGAAGCAGGCCAAGACAAGCCAAACCAAGCGAGGCCAAGTCCTATATTTAGCTGCTACAGTGCAGCGGCTCATCACTTGTTCAGTTGCGAGATGCGGAAGCGCTGCTGCTGCTTGTGCCTTAAGGCAACTTGGGCACTGCACGCCCGAAGTAGAAGAGGGTGCTCGCGAGTGACTCCATAGCTAGGTTAGGGGTAGAGCAGGAGGACGGCGGCCATAGCCGCCAGGGTGTAAGCATACCTGAGTGGGTGTATCCAGGGTGACGATCTAGGTTAGAGAGAGAGGGAGTGAGGCAGAGCGAGCCACGTCAGAGAGAGAAGCGAGGGCTGAAGAGAGAGAGCAAGATAGAAGAGAGAGAAGCCATAGCTGCCACTTGAGTGAGATCCATGTTGTGTGTGTGTGCGGCAGAGCCGCTGGAAACGAACATTCTTGTATATTGATAATAATATTGGAGACGAAATTTTCAAGTGTTAATTGTATCTCAATTTGGCTTCTCACGTGTGAACTCTCATGCGAATGTTAATTGATGTATGCGAGGTTGAACTTGATGAGTACTTGGCCCATTTCAAGGGCCTCAGGAGCAATTAAAAGAAAGGGGGGGGAAATGATGACCATGCGTTCTCTTCGTGGGAAAACGAACAGTGGCATTGGATAAAAATAGCACCAGTGGGGCTCAACCCTTGAAGACTGTATTGAAAATACAACCATCGTGTTCATGGTGAAAGGAGTAGAGGAGGAGGAGAGGGGCATGGAGGTGTGCGAGGCGGTCCCTTACATAGTCCCACATTATTGCTTGTAGCCGTCTCCTGCAGGTCTCAGTATACTTCATGACTGCAGTGTAGTTTGCCGATTTCTTCATCGATTTCCAGCTCATTGGCCTTGGCCAGAACTCACTGTCCACCTCCCAAACATCACATCCTTGACTTGATGCAGACTTCATGTACGCGATTGATGGCAAGATTGCTCGCTGGGAGAATACCAGAGCCTGTGTGCAAACAAACAAACGTGAAAAAAAAAATTAAAGAAAAGGAAAAAAGAAAGAGGGAAAAGAAAAACGCACCACCCACCTTTACCCCCCTGAATATCCTACTCCTAACTAACATCCCCGACAGTCTCAGGGGGGGCAAGGAGGTCTGGTTCTACATACTCAGAAAGCTGCCCGTATGGCTCATATGGAAAAGGAGATGTGCCAAGGCGATCGAGGGATCAGAAGCAACCAAGGAAGAAATGTGGACCCTTCTGATCAGGATGGTGGAGACAGAGATTAGATGCAGATGGAGGAGAGGGGTAACAACCACGAAAGGAAAACCAGAAGAAACTCGCACTCAGGAGACAAGCCTTCACGAGAGACGGCCTGCTACAGGGAAAGATCGCAACAGTCAAGGACAACAAGCTGATCTGAAAGAAATGGTTCATACCAACATCTGCAAGGAGCACAATCCAGTGAAGGACAAAATTGAGACTATCGTCTCAGACGGAAAACAACTCTCCCAGTTTTCTTGTTACTCGCATCTGAGAGGAAAACTAGGGCAGGGCAAGCTGACAGTCAATCCTCCCGAACAGGAGTAATCAATGCTGGTCAGGGTTCCCTCGGCCAGACAGAAGGCAGCATGAGAGTGTTTACCATGTATTCCAAGATTCAACTTGCCGGTGGAAAGGAACCGGACTGATGCTCCCCAGAATGGATATGGAGTCAGGACCATAAGGACCATAAATGGGGCTCAAGGGGTTTAAAGGGGGGTGCCTTGGTTTGATTTGTTGATTTTCTTTTTTCATCTTCAGTTCAATTAGGAGTTCTGATGTGTTTGTCCTTTGGGACATCGGTTAAAACTGGAACAATACAGAGAAGATTAGCCTGGCCCCCTGCGCATAAAGAAGAAAAGGAATTCTGATGTGACCCTCAGCCAAACGTTGTTTGGAATTGCGATTCTACACAACATAATTTTTTCCCACAATTTCTTGATTGATTTATTTTTATTTTTATTTTTATTTTTTTTGCGCTGGGGCTGCCTGGGACCCTGCCCGGAGGTCCTGCCACGCCGGGCGGCTTCGTGCTTGGGCACATGGAAAACAGCCTGGTAGGCTAGTATCCATTATATACTTAGCAGGGTCACCACTGTCAATACAGAGCCTGGGACAGAAAAAAGTGTCAAAGAGTGAGTAAGTGAAGCTCTCTTCGCTTCACGCCAGCATCCCTACAAATGTGACAAGACTCCTTCATGCATCCGTCAGGTGATTCCACTCCCTTGACCTTTTGCGCGCAGGGAGAGACAATTTGTTTTCAATCCTTCACTGTACCTACAGGGCGGGGACGGAGGCTTGCACGTCATAACAACAGTGGGGGGAGGGGGGCAGATGCCAGATTAGGATCATTGCGCGACTTCACATCTCACCCTCACACCCAAGAAAGGATCTTGAATTCATTGAGTGATAAGACCCATAACATAGGAGGAGAATTTCTGCACACACACCAAGTGATTATCTGATACACATTCTTACCGGTTCCTCGCATGAAGGGCAAGGACGGCCACGTGTAATTGCAAACCACAGCAGAATCCACGAGGTTGATGATATATATAATGATCATATATATCCTCGCTCATCCGGAGACCAGCAGCCTGTTTCTTTATCTGGCACAATTCTCTCCGTGCCTGCTCCACAGGTCGTTGCTATTCCTTTGCTCCAAAGGAGAATATCTGCTCTTGTGTCCCCTGCAGACAGTCCAACTTCCGGCAGGCAGTCACGAGACTGTGTTTAATGCTCTACAGCATTGGAGATTCATGAGTCAACTGCAGAAAAAGATATGGCTCCTGCTCCGAGGCAGTCCCCACCCAGGATTCAGCCCCAAACTTTCTGCAAAAGGACCAACCAAGACCCAGCCCAGGGCATTCCAGGCTTGGAACATCCTCCGGGTAAGCTGCAAATCGTTGGCCAGTGTCTGGCAACCAGCCTGCTTACAATGAGGAACATCTCCGTGCTCGCTGTTCCTCTAATTTCGCTGAGATGCTTCCCAATCTCTGAGGTATGGCTGCTACTAGTGCTTGTCTGCACAGTCTCAACTGCCAGCCTTATACGGCATCGGGCTTTCTTGCAATTGCTCTTCAGTTTGATTTGGGTCTTCCCTGCCTAAAGGCAGGGGGTAGTAACTATACCAAGAAAGGAGGCTTTACGCTTGAGATCCTAGAGGTAGGAATGGGGGATTGCAAAATTGAACTACGCCGTGCTTGGCCCAATAGTTGTTTCATCCTCCATCCCACATCTCTGCCTGCATTGCACATGGCCATTGTCCAAGGCCTCAAGCACTGGGAACTGTGGGACAACGCCACCATGGTCGATGCCATGACTGATGTCGGTTGTGATATTATTATGAAGTAACAAATGTGACAACAATGGTGATCATAGTGGGGTCTCACTGGGGAACCTGAGCAGGACACGAAAACACCCATCAAGGACTCCGTGACTGTTATTGAGGGTATGGGACCAAGGAAGAGGAAAAAATGCTTGCATAACAAACTGCTAACCTCCAATAGCGAGTTGCTTGCAAGGCGATTTGCCCCATGCAGACCAGTATGCGCCACCTCCCCGCATGCATACAGTCCATCGATTGATGTCTCACCATGCAATCCGGTCTGCATCCGCAAAGAACAAACAACCACATACAACCGAGCGAAATATATATTCAGAAAATGTTGTCAATCTTTTACAAAAAGCCAGAAATTTGAATATCATAGTTAACCAAGTCAAGAAGTTGGCGACCAAAATTGTCAAACAGTAAGTCTGAGTAGGAGATCAGTTTGAGAGAGAGAGAGAGAGAGAGAGAGAGAGAGAGACACACACACCTGAACACCTCCGCAGATGTAGTGCGCTGCAGGAACTACAGGGATTGGGTCTTTGGTAATGTCAAGCCCATACTTCAAGCACTCTGCAGCAATGTTTGGAAAATGTGAAAGAATCTGAAGGCAATAGGCAAATCAAAACATATAACATCGGCATGACAGTCAGAAATTATTGGCAGCAAGGCATTAATGTAATTTGCTGGGTATTAGAAGCACCAAAAAAGTTTCAAAAAGGCAAAAGAGAAGTAAGTTCAAATAACACAAGCAACCTAGAAGGGTATTAATACCGTATTATCCACAAGTCATCTCAGATTCGCATGGAGAGAAGAATCAATTCCTCAAGATTACTGTGATCACAGTCTACTGACCAAGTGCGCAGTATGATAAATTTGCAGCTTTGCAGAGTATAGATTCATAGGTTGATTAGTTCAGTACAGTCTTCCCCCGAATACAAGATACACTTATTATTGCAAAGTTGCCCCAAATACACCAATAATGGACATACAACGTACGTTCTATTCAGAGGGAAGACAGCTGGAAGATTGCTGTTAAAATGGGATCTGTTTTTGCTTAGCTGCCATAGCTGGCACTTTTGATTCTAAGGAAGGTATATTCAGCAAGACATGCCTTTTCAACTGAAATTAATAATGCTTTCGGGTGAAGTCTTTCATAGTCAACAAACGAAGAGGTTTCCTAGCACATCAGGTTTTTCCTGGTGATCGATTATAACGACTGAGTGGAATTTCTATGTCTGTTTTGACTCTTGAGGCATGTTTTTTGGGGGGGGCTAAAGGTGACAAGGACATGGTTATGTGTTTTAAAGTTTAAGCATGGGCTTCACTTACAGCCAATCCTTCTAAAAGGAGGAAGCAGTGCTGTCAGGGATCCACGGGCAAGTAGCATACTTGCGAGCGGACGCCGTCCGGGCGGTTCCGCACGTGCGGCAGACTGCCGGACCGGGGACCCGCGTGGCGCACAAATGTGCGCCCGACGACCAGTTACGCCCCACAACCCCCCCCCCCCCCNGAGAGAGAGAGAGAGAGAGAGAGAGAGAGAGAGAGAGAGAGAGAGAGAGAGAGAGAGAGAGAGGAATCCTGACACGTGGCAGTTCACAGCGCACTGCTGTTCCCACGTGGCACTTTGCCTAATAAAGAACTCAAACGAAATAGGGAGGAGGAGGAGGAGAGAAGAAGACGAAGGGAGGAGGAGGAGAGAAGAAGACGAAAGGAGGAGGAGGAGGAGGACGAGGAGGACAAGGACGAGAGAAGAAGATGAAAGGAGGAGGAGGAGGAGGAGGAGGAGGAGGAGGAGAAGAGGAAGAGGAGGAAAGGAGGAGGAGAGGAAGAAGAAAAAGACGAAAGAAGGTGGAGGCGGAGGAGAGGAAGAAAAAGAAGAAGAAGAGGAAGGAAGGAGGTGGAGGCGGATACACCACGACGGGACAGGACCTTGACGGGCGGTGACGATGGGGAGGGCTGCTCAATGGGGTAGGTCGACGGGGAGTGATGACGCGCGGGCTTCAAGATGGCAGCAACAGCGACAACGACCGACGACGGGGCACCTCGATGACGACGACGGGGCACAGCTCGATGACGACGATGGGGCAGCTCTACGTGGAGCGACGACTGGCGGGCTTGGAGACGGCAGCAACGGTGGGCTTCGGAAATGCAGCGAAGCGGGAATACAGCATTCAAATTCGAACGCGGCTTCGTAGGCGACCAGGGGGGCGAATCAAGGCTACGGCGGCAGTAACGCGGGGGGAATTTCGCGCGGGGGGGCGGGGAGGATGCCACTGGCCAAAAACCTCGAAAAAAGGCCTCCCCCCCTCCCCCCCCCCGCTCAAAATTGCGCTGGGCCCGCCCGGCGCCAAACCGGGGGACCCAACCGGCCGGGCCGCCCGGGACCCCTGCCGGACGAAGGCTGGGCCGCCGGGCGGCCCGGATTTTAACACAGAAGCTGTCCCATAAGGACCTGTTTTTTGAGAAAAACTTCAGAAAAGGTGAAAAAAGCCGCTCTAAGCTAGGCTGGGCCGCTGCCTGGTCGGGCGGGCCCGGGGGTTCCGCCCGGGAATTCCAGGCGGCCCGTGCTGGGATTTTTTTATTTTTTTGTTTCCCAAAGGCGGGGTTTTGCTGCGCTACCCCAGATGACCCCGAATCTGCAATAAAAAAGTAAACTTGGGTTTGGGCGGTGGGTGGGGGCTGGGGGCTGTCTCTTATACACATCTAGATGTGTATAAGAGACAGGTATTATACTGACAAGAACAGATCATACTTGCAAGCGGACGCCGTCTGGGCGGTTTCGCACGTGCGGCAGACCGCCAGACCGGACCCGCGCGGCGCAGGAATGTGCGCCCGACGACCAGTTACGCCCCACCCCCCCCCCCCCCCCCAAAAAAAAAACGGCCCCGTCCGGTCCGGTCCGGGTCCGTCCGGTCCGGGGGGAGGGTGCCGCACGCGGCAAAGTGGACCGGACCAGATGCTCGTCCGGTCCGTCTGCTTGCAAGTATGGCAGTAGGTATATTACGTATTCTAACCGGACTGATGCTCCCCCATAAATTCCATAATGGCATTGCGCCGAGCCCATTGGGACCTGTTTTTTCTTTTCCTCTCTTTTTTAAGCAACCCTAGAAAGGCTGCTTAAAACTCACCCATGGGTTAAAACTTAAAACTTAAAACTTAAGAGGCTTAACGTGCTGGACAAAGTTCGAATCTCCAAGCACAAAGTGCCAAACTCTGGCAAGTGCAAACCATGAATCGCTCACACCAAGGTCTTTTACGTGAAGGGGTGTGGGCTACAAACACTCGGATTGGAGCCATGTGTTTTTTAACTTTTTTTAACTTTTTGAGCCTTTTTTCCTTCCCCCAATGTCCTTCGCACCTGGATGACTTTCAAATTCTTAAGCCATTACATCTTCTGCATCTTTGTCACTTCTCAAGCCATTATGAACGCATTCTGAACATCGACTTCCCAAGACATGCTGTAGATCTCTTCTTTCTTTTTTCATCCGCCTGAGTGGCCCTGCCCCTTCTTCCCTCCTGCCCCCCCACCCCCCTCGGCGTTTTTCCCCCCATTCAATCCGCAAAGGGGATCAGAGTGCCCATGGTTTCACCCAATCCCTCCTCACACCCGCACTCACCTCTTCTCTAGGCTTATGACTGATATCCAAGAAGACATACTTTTCATTTCTCTTCTTCAACTGGTCATCGATGCTGCATGGAGGAAAGCACAACACACAATCTGTTAAAATTGAGACGATGCAAAGAAGATTAGCATGCCCCTGCTCAAGGGTTCAACGAGGGGAAATCGACAAAAAAAAAAAAAAAAACCAGGAAGAAGATGGGTCGGAACTCAGAAGACGAACCAATCATTCATCGACCTCTGGCCGATGGGTGCTGGAGGACTGTTGCTAATTAAGTCATAACTAACGAGTTGGGAACATCAAAATTCATGAGTTTTTCTTTTTCAACAATGGGGTGAAAACTTCAAGACTCCTCAGTTAAAAGTTAAAACTTGAAACTTTCAACAAAACTCCATAGTTGAAGACTTCAAATCCTGTTGGTGACCACGACAACACCAAGGCCATTAAAAAGAGCATGATGCTGCCTACTCTGCAAGATGGTCCTTGGATGTGGATTTAGACCCATGAACATCCCAACACCGATAAGTTCGGCGATAACCATTGACAACCATGCGCCATGTCCGCCTCATGAAACATATTGCTAGCCCGTCACATTCCCAGCCCAACTTTCTTGCAAAATCACAGCCAACCAACAACCAACCAGCCACAATCCCAAAATACGTTGTCCATAGAACTGCTCTAAGTTGAGTTTGGCTGGCAAGAGGCAGCTGATTTTAGTGGACGCAGTCTCAGGTGGAAGGACTAACATACTTCTGACTCCACATACAGAGTGCAGACTACTGAACAGACAGAACCTCAAAATGCCACCAGGACCTCCTAACCAAGATTCAAGCCGTTCGATGTGAGGGAACAATGGACTTACACCTCTTACGGACTTATACCTCTTTGTTCATCTGGCGAAAGGCGAACAGTGCAACAATTAAGCTTCAATAGACGGGGCAAATAATCCTTGTCTGTTCCTCTGCTGTCCTCGCTATTGTGTCGATCTGACAGGTTCTCGAGATGAACCTGAGAGGAATTACAGAGTAAAAGGGCCTTTACCCGATATAGGCCTCAGGCCTTGTAAAAATAGAGCAGCACGGGCCTTGTAAAAGTAAAGCATTGTGAAAAGGTATCTTGCCAGGGCTCAGAAACGTGAAAACAGGTCAAAAGTCAAGTTCTCTAT